TGGACATCGCCGGGGGTGAGTGGGGCGGGTGGTGGGGGGCACGGGGGATTAGGGGAGGGGCAGTCATGCACCCCCAGTCGTACTCCTGCCCTTCGGCTTTTGCAGAGGAGGAGTTGGCCCTGGAGCCCACGCTGATCACGGAGGAGCCAGAGCCAGCGGGGGACGGGTGCTGCCAGGACGCCCTGGCAGCAGGGTGAGCGTGTGGGCAGGGGGGATGGATGCTGTGCCGGCATCGGGGCCACCACACCGGCACCGCTGAGGGTCCCTGTCCCCGCAGGGCTGAGAGCAGAGCTGCCTTCATCCCGCTGCTGTGCTACAGCTGCCGCCTCACCTTCAAGGAACTGGTAAGGCTTTTGGGGCACAGCGGGCGCGGCGGCTCTCCTCGGGGACAGGGGTCCCCATCCCCACGGCCCCTCTCTTGCAGGGCCCCCTCGCCACACTGCCGCCCTACGTGCGCGCCGAGGCCCAGCGCAGGATCCACAGGTAGGGGGGACGGGGGTCCCCTCCCCTCCTTGCTGGCTCGGCCCCCGATGCCGCGTCCATCTGTCCGTGCTGTGTCCATCCCTTGCAGGGCGCAGATGAAGCAGCAGAGCCGGGAGGTCCCGCTGGAGGACGAGGAACCCAGCGAGAGCTGAAGGGGCTGGGAACTGCAGGGGACCCAGACCCCCATCTCTCTGGGGCACCGGCGGGGCTGGGTGACATCCCCCCCCTCCAGGGATGCGGATGCCCCATAGGATGGCGGGGGACCAGAGCCCCTGGGGACTCCTGGCGCCCAGGCAGCTGCTTTTACGCTCCATTTTGGTTACAGCCAGGGGGCAGGGAGAGCCCCCAGCCCCCATTAGGTAGGGGCCAGGGGTGCTGGTACCCCCCCCGGGCGCAGCAGGTCCCCGGTCCCACCCTGCACCCCCCTCTCCCCATCCCAGCTGGGTGTCAGCCAGGGAGGCTTCAGCTTTGTTTTATTAGATACTGTATAAATAAACCATTTGAATTAATTAAAAAAAAAACAAACCAAACCAACAAAACCAAAGTCACAACAAGTGTCTAGAGTCCGGCTGGGGCTGCCAGCTGCCCCCCCCTGGCTGGGGGGGCCACTAAATAAACCATTTGAATTAATTAAAAAAAAAACAAACCAAACCAACAAAACCAAAGTCACAACAAGTGTCTAGAGAGGCGGGGGGGCTGCCAGCTGCCCCCCCCTGGCTGGGGGGGCCACGACCCAGGGCCCCCCACCCTGGGGGGCTATTGCTTTTGAGTTCAACCTGGTTCTGGAGCAGGAGCAGGGAGAGCAGGGAGGGGGTATGGGCTGGCTCCCGACA